CCCCCTGGAATTCTACATGAAGCTACGACACTAACGTCAGACAGAGGTCAGCTAACTTTCAAAACTTACTTAACTGTGCCTACATCAGACCTTTCAGATTTGTTCTAATCAGCAGGTTTCTCTATAGGCAAGCAGGAGTGGTGACAACAGCCAGTCTTTTGTTATGAATCATGCTGATTATGGTTTTAATGCTCATTTTAGCCTATGTTGCTTGACACAAAATCTACTTGTTGTTTACTAAACCTTTAGACTGAGCAAGTATGTGACATAATGAGACATTGTAAAAAAAAAAAAAAAAAAAAAGCTAACTGTTAGTAAAACGTAACTAAAATGTCACTTATCTTCTTTCAAATATGCCCAGTTATTATGAGTGTAAAATATTTATTGCTACTTGATAAATTTCATAAAATTAATTTTATTCTCAAATGTATTAATAATTATGTTAATTAAGTTATGTTTAGTAATAATGCATCCTACTCACGTTCAGCCATAGATATAATACTTTTAATCGAATTTACTCAGTTCCCATTTGCTCATAGGTCCTTAATTTTCTTCATTAATGGTCCTTAAAAGTACTTAATTTCCGTGTGCAGAAATGTGTACGAACCCTGTGGGGTCCAAAGTTTAAGCACAGTGAAAATTTAGAACTTAGGAAAGTGCTTTGTAGCAGAATTTAGGACCTGTAGAGACTAGGTGTATCGGTAGGTGGTATCGAGCACCAGCCCTAGATAAAGTTAAGTATATGTGGGAGTTTATTTATTCAGAACTCGGATTAGTTTGAAGCATGTGCAAGAAATAAACGTAGGTATAGTAAATAACTAATACAATTCAGGCTTAATTCAGTACACATTAGGAGCAAGGAAATAACGTGGCTTTCGTCGCCAATCTTGTGATAACACAGCCAATAATATATAATGAATGCTATTAGGCCAGCCTAAAATTATCTTTACTGATTTCTAAGGCATTTCAATTAATGTAGCAGACTGTGCTGCTCCCTGATCGTCTAATTTGATCTAGCTTATTATTTTTTGAAGACTGTTATTATTACGGCAATTTTATAAAAACTAAGCTTGAACTTTCGATTATGTCGAAAAGAGTTTCCAATTCTGGAGTTGCCAAAGGATCTACAAAGCGAAACCATGTTTCGATGTTCATTAAACAAAAAGTGGAATTGCTGCAAAAAAAATGGATAAAGGCATATCTGTCTCAAAATTATGTGAGGAGTATGGCATTGGAAAGTCCACTGTATATGACACAAGAAAAAGAAAAAGGAACTTTTTGAATTTTTTGTTGAAGCACCTTAAACAACTTACATTGAAAGGAATGTTTAATAAAGTATACAAATAAATATTAGGCTGCTTTTTTTTTTTTTTTTTTTTGTAAATTTTTATACCCTTTAGATCATAATTTTTCTTTATTTCATAAATTACAATTTCATATTTTTAATTGTATAATTTCTGCATGCCATCTTACCAGATTTAAATTGATGATCTATTATCTGGGAAAATCTCAAATCCAGAATCGCCAAAGTCTCGACCAGTCCCGATTTCACACTTTGTACTGTATTAGCAGTGGTGTCTGCAATCGGTCATGCTGCTAGGAGATTCATACATAATCTTCATACTTAATCCTTGATTTCCACCTTAAAGTGGCAATATCTATAAAACACCAACAGCTGAGTTTCTTGCTGTTAATCTGATATTAAATATTTAGCCTTTTATGCAGAAGGTGCTTTTTCTGTAAATGCCTTTTAGTACCATAATTCCAGCACTTTAATCCAATATTATGGCCCCTTTTAAATCTTTAATGCTTATTCTGCCTTCAGTCTTTTTATCAGCTCCATCACTACCCTCAGTCTAAATCTTCTGTGATGTTGACAACCGCTGTAACATGAAAGTCTCATCTGCTGTCCTTTTATGCATCTCCCACTATCATGACATACACAAAGATATGCTTCAGGTCTTTGTTTCAATGAATTTAGAACAACCTCAACAAAGTATCAGAGATTCAGCGTGTCTGTAATTTCTTGATCAAAACCCAGGAATGCCAGTTTGAGAAACTAGTATCTTAAGTTATTTTGAGAAATCTTCTCCAAACTGCAATTCTAAACATTAACTGAGGTTTTAGCATCTGATCTTTATCGAAAGTGTCTGTAGAATGTTTCCCAGTTCACCTTGTAAAGGAGCAATCCAAAGTAATGCTTTGGAGGTGAGGTCCCATTGATCTGCCATAAAATGATTTCATATTGCATCTTTTGTACATTCTGTGATGATTTCTCGTCGTATGGCAAGAGCTTGATGATGCAAAAAGATAACTCAGCCAGGATGTTGTTTACATATTGAACAGGTTTCAGAAATCTCTCTTAAAATCTTTTAATTTCTTTCTTGAGTCTCTTGTTAAGTACAGAAATCTCTTTAGTTATATTGGCAATTTCTTGACTTACATTATCTAACACAGCAATTCCCGAACTTTTTGGTTTGCGGAGCCTTTTCCAGATTAATTTTCTGTTATGTTGTTCTGTAGGCCTTCTTGATATTTTAAGAGTTCATAGTATGTAGGAATAATGTTAAGGGGGTATATAGTTAGGAAATTTAAAGCAGAGAGATGTCTAAACAACTGCACACTATCCATGTAATGAAATTATGATCAAAACTTTGAAATTTACCATAATACCTCACTTTATGCTTATTTCCCATCAATACCCATGGTATTGTTAGAACTTTGCCACACAAAAAATTATTTTTAATATAATAAATCAAACCATTAGCATTACAACAGGTTACTGGTGAGAACAACAATAAAATAGATTCATAAAATAACCTTAACTCTTTCAGTTTAATCATTATATAGAATTCAATTAAAATACATATTATTTCATTGTTATTCAAAATTTTTATTATTTAGTGCAAAACTAGGCCTCAGTTAAGACATAACATAAAATAGCATATATATAATGCTATTTAATGAGGCACATGTAGCTGCATTCTTATTTCAGGTTCAGCTGATGATAATTGCAGAATGAATGTCTGTTTATCTATTTTGCTTTGGTCTTTGTGTAGATGGAGAATCCCGCTTCACGGATATATGTAATTGAAAAGCAGCAATACAATTTTTTCTTTGTTAGATAAGAGTTTGAATTCCTCTTGGAAATGGAATCAAACTTCTTCTCAACATACTTAGGTTATTTTTAGTATGCTTTGAGATGCTTAGTCTATGAGAACTTCATATTCTGTTGACTTTATAAGCTGGGCAGTATTTTTTGTTCATGCTGCATACATTCATAAAGTTATAAAGAACCTTCTCATGAGCTGTTGGAAAATAATATTCAAATGAATTTTCAAAAGCTTTGAGATATGTCTGATTATTTTCCTTGTTTGATTACGGCAAAGATGCAAGTTTATCTGCCTAAGAGGAGGCAGGACTTTCTAAGGGAAACTGACTCGCATCCACATTGTACACGAAGAACACTATGAAAACACCTGTGCAGCCAGGGATTTGAGCCTGGGGTGAACTGCCTGCATTCAGAAACCTTACCACTCGGTGGCTGGTAAGCCAGCTTTTTGTAAAAGAGAAATAGAATCAGTTTAAGGTCTCTCACGATATTTACAACATCCAACTACTCTTCCTTTTTCCCCTCTTATACTATCTCATTCTGCATTTCTATGCTTGTAGATAAAATCATTAACTTGTAAAATTTCTTTGAAAATGAATTGACTAGGTGTATTATTTATGCATACTTTTTATTTATATGTTCTTTTAATTAACAGCTACATAGTGATTCAGAAGTCAAACAACAAAAATCAGCGTTATATTTTCAAAATTTTCACAGTACTAGTTTCGATGGTTTTACCGAACCACCATCCTCAGCTGCAAAACCGCACTAGTACTATGAAACTTTTTAAAATATAACTCTGATTTTTGTTGTTTGACTTCTGAATTAGTATTTGTTCGGCATGTTATTGTGTCTTAACCTACATAGTAGCCAAAATTACAGTTTTCTGAGCTCTCAAAAGAGCTTTTTTAATTTCATCAGTAAAGCAACTTTAGTGAAACATTTTACATTTATCTAACATTTATGTGCTTGCATTTTAGGCTGGGAACTTAATAACATCTTTTAAAATAGTTTTAAGCCTGAGAAAAGATCTGAAGTGTGCAGTATTTTTCTATTTGTAATAACCAATTATTTATTATTAATCGTCAATAAAACCATGCAGAGTTCTTTTAAAGCTCAGAGCTGATTTACCTAATAAGTGGTGCAGAATTTTTGTTCTCTAAATATATATTCGCACACAGATGATAAACCTATATACAAGTTAAATAGTATTTCCTCTTATTTATCTCAGTGTAATATTAGTAACAAAAAGTAGATCATTATATGTAATATTTTTAGATACTTTATGACTATCTGCAGCCGTGCTGAAAAATCGCAAAAAAGTATTTATGAGGCAAATATGTATTAGCTATGTTGCTAGAATAGATAGTTATAAGGCAACCCATGTCACCAAAAAGCTTTTATCTGGCAACCCAAGTATGCGTGTAGCACATGGAAAGAACTAGGTAAATTACTTGTTAAATTCTTTGGCACATGTCTGTTTTGGCCGATGCATAATGCCAGATTGTGCATGGATGCTACGGTTGTACAATTATCTTATATTTATTAAGTGAAAACTGATTGCTCTACACATACGAAGAAAACAGCACACACAAAAAAAGGATTTCTAAAAAAAGCTAAGTTTTTATTGCCAATGTTTCTTGTATTTATGATTTTATTTATTGATTACTCATGTATAGAATTCTTAGTGCACCATCATTTTGAAAATGGCTATTACCTTTCCTGCTTAAGCTTGCCAAAAAATTAAAGTCTGATGTGTTTTCAACATTTCAGAGGGAGTGTGGATAATCAGAAAGTACCCATTGTGTTTTTTTTTTTTTTTTTTTTTTTTTTTTTTTTTTTTTTTTTTTTCATTAAAGAGTGAATAAAAGTTTCATTTTTATTTTAGATTCACCAGGTAATCGGAGTGACTTAAGTCATCCTATTCATGCAGATAACTGTGTTCTTAGACCAGATGGAGAGTGCCTTAAAGAAAAACCAGCTTACACATGGCGAGATTACAGGTTCATATTTTTTATTATAAATTAATATTTCTAATTCAGTTAACTTTTCATTGTGGTGTTTCTATCTTTGGATAATCATGGTCTAAATAAAAATCTGGTAGAACTAATTGGGTTTTTAACCCTCTGCGTGCAGTGCAATTTGGACACATTCTGGTTCTGAAATACAGAGTGCTTTTTTTTAAATTCTCTATCTTCATATATTACTGTTCACATTTTTATAAACAAAATTAGTATAATGCGGAAATTTTAATAGTTTTTTCTTAGAAACATACGCACGCTTATTTCACACGACCCGTATTACGAGACGGATTTCGTATCCCATGGAAATAGCAGGAGCCATACGTGAAGGGTTAATATAACTCCTGATATAATTGAATAGAATCTTACTATAAACCTGCAGTCTGCTGTTAATGTAGATAATTAAAGAAATGATGAAAAACCCTGGCATTTAATAAAGAAGGTAAGCTAAAACTAAAAATCAAAAGTTCTGCCTAATATTTCAGATTTATTTTTGTTAAAATATGTTTAGCAGTGTAAAAGTAAAAAGATATTTGAAATAAAAAGGGTTATGGCTAGATTTTTTTTTTTTTTTTTTTTTTTTTTTTTTTTTTTTCTTGTTACTAAATGTGAATAAATTTCTATTTTTAGTGCCATTCTTTATTTAAATGAAGATTTTGAAGGTGGAGAATTTATATTTGCTAAGGACAAAAACAATATACAGGTAACATTATAATAATTTTGAAAATTTTTAATAAAACTTTATATATTTGCTCTGCAATGATATGACTGATTATGAAGACTATCTTTACGAAGTAAAAAGGAAGTATCGTAATCACAAAAAATTTCGGGTATCATATTTCAACAAAAATATACATTTTAACCACTATCGAATGCAATTTAATCATGTTTTTAAGTGATAACTATGTAAGATCAGAAAACTGATTTAAAAGGAATTCTGAAGAGAATTTTTCATGGCGTCTGTACGTACCTATGTATGTATGTCGCGTAACTCAAAAACGAGTAGCCTCAGAATGTTGAAATTTTATATATAGGATTGCTGTAACATGTAGATGTGCACCTCCTATTTTTGTTGCCACCAAAAGTATATATCCACTCTGTTACTTAGCTTAGTGATCTCACTTTCTTTATTCTTACATGTTTGTAAATTGTGCATTTTTTTGCTTTAAAAATTATTGAATTATGTTGTTCTTATCTTTTAGTTAAAGTTTTTATGCCTTTCTTATCTGCATGCAATATTTGTAGAATTATTAACAATTTAAAAGTTGTTTAAGTACATCTAAGCCTAATTATTTTTACTGTAGTGGCCATGTTAGTTTACATTTGAAACTTAGGATAGCGGATTTGTTGCCAATCTAGAGAAACTAAGCTTCATAACAACAAAGATAATGCCTTCTTTTATTATTGCAAAGTAAATCATGCTTAATCCATTCTGGAATTTATTCGAGGAAATAAGTGTTTAAGATTTACTTCGTAATTTTAATATAGATTTTTGCATTGTTGTGAAGGGAGAATTGAATTAATTGAATGGGAAATACTGAACTTTCTGTGAAAAACTGTTTCTTTTTTTGCTTGATTAATTTCTTTCATATATCATTTTAGATTTATTATACATTTTAGACAAAAAAAAAAGTTACACCAAGAAAGATTTATTTGAATGGAATGAATCGATAGAAGTGATGTACATGGACAGAAAAACAAAGGATTACAATTTGAGAAAAATTGGATGATTTATTGAAGTGATAGAGCTTCACAAAGTGAAAAAGTCAGTAACGCATTTGTCCACCTCTGGCCCTTATGCAAGCAGTTATTTGGCTTGGCATCGATTGATAGAGGTTGCGGATGTCCTCCTGATGGATATCAGGCCAAATTCTGTCCAACTGGTGCATTATATCATCATCATCCCAAGCTGGTTGGAGGGCCCTGCCCATAATGCTCCAAACGTGCTCAATAGAAGAGAGATCCAGCGACCTTGCTGGCCAAGGTAATGTTTGGCAAGCAGTAGAAACATGTGCAGTGGGGGGGGCAGGCATTATCTTGTTGAAATGTAAGCCCAGGGTGGCGTGACATGAAGGGCAATACAATGGGCCTTAGAACTTTGTCGACGTACCGCTGTGCTACAAGTTTGCGATGGATGACTACCAAAGGGGTCCTACTATGAAATGAAATGGCACCCCAGATCATCACTCCTGGTTGTCTGCCGGAAGACAGTCAGGTTAGTAACACACCGCTGTCCAGGGTGTATCCAGACTCGCCTTCGCTAGTCATTGAGGCTCAGTTCAAAGCTCATCACTGAAGACTATTCTACTCCAGTCAGTGACATTTCAGTGTGAATAAGCCTGACACCATTGCAAACGGGCTTGACGTTGTACGGAGGTCAATGGTAGTTGGCGAAAGGGGCACCGTGACCTCAGCCCCCTTTCTGTGAGCCATCTATGACTAGTCCTTGTGGTCACTGAAGCACTAATTGCACATACAATGGATGATAATGATGCATCTGGGGCTGTGAGTGCTGTTCTGATGATTGCTCAGTCTTCATGTTCTATCGTTTCTCTAGGCCTACCGCTTCCTTCTCGACGCTGTGTGCGACCATGGTTCACCCATTCCTGCCAACATCATCTAATAGTGGCATTGCTCCTCTACTCAAAAGTCAAGCTATCCGCCGATAAGACCAACCGGCTTCTTTGAGCCCAACTGCACGACCTCTCTCAAATTCTGACATCTGCGTATATCGTTCGCGCACCTGTATGCGAGGCATAGTTACTGTCTACCAGAGTATACAGAATGGAATTTGTGAAGAATTTATGAACTGGAATCGTAATTTCTCCTCTTGAATATCCTGCCAGTTAGCTTAACAAATCCATGTATATTTCTTGGATAATTAGAACTTCCCGAAGAATGTAATGACAGAACAAATTTGGAAGCACTGAAATACGAACGCTGAGACGTAGATGTGGAAAAATACTGATTGCGTAGATACTTGAGGCTTAGAGTGTCCATCCATTTTTGAAGAAGAAGCAGTCAAGCCGGATTAAATTCCTTTTTTTTTTTTTTTTTTTATTTAAATTCTCATTTTGTGGCTACAATTCACTTGGCACTCTAATCGTACCCACTTCCAGAACATTCACAAATTTGATATTATTGCCATATAAGCGAATACATGATTGCAGAAAAGCATTGAGCAAAGAGGAAAGCACAAGCAAAAGTGACACATAGTTTATAGAAAAAAGGGAGGTAGTCAAAAGTTTCTGTTAGTTTTGGTTTACAATTTGGTGTTTGGTCAAGAGGCATCTGCATTAAGAGTTATATAAGATCACATGATTAATTTTAATGACACAGTTTATACTTATAGCACTATTTTTAGGACAGATAGATGAAGTTCCCAAATGAAATAAAAATAAAAGAATTTATAGTGAATTAAATTTAGAAGTTTGCTTCATATTTTTTATCTTGCATATACATTATGTATTACTTGTAAAGACAGTTTTTCATGTTATGGTGTCTTCCAATATGTTTTTCTAATATGGCATATTGATTAAGCTGATGTTTCATTCTGGAATCAATATATGTTTTTCATATTAATGTGGGCAAATAAAATATAAAAAGCACAATGGTAAATGTAATTTTTGTATATTTTTGTATCATGCTGATATAAATGATAAAAAGATATAAAGTTTCATCCTGCTGATGTAAAAGTAATAAAAAAATTCATTTTTTAAAAGATTATAGTTGATGAAAGAAAATGTTTCATAAGATATAAATTAGTACTGTAATACTAGAAAGTATGAAATAATGTACTTGTAATTTATTCTGTGTGAGTAATATTAACTAGATAGGAAATATTGTTTTATTGCATTTTTAATATACAGTTTAAGAACTAAAATTTAAAAATCTTTTTAACTTAGAATAATTTTTTAATCAATTTATTTTCTTTCCAATTTATACATAGGCAATGATAAAACCCAAATGTGGCTTAACTGTAGCATTTTCAGCGGGAGAAGAAAATTTGCATGGTGTTAAAGCAGTGAAAAAAGGCCGCAGGTGTGCCTTAGCTATGTGGTACACTTTGGATTCAAGGTATAGAGAAAAAGAGCGAGACTTTGCAAATGCAGTCTTAGCAGATTTATGGATGAAAAGGAAGTTATCAAGTCGGTCTTCTTCGGACAGTTATGAAAAATCTACTTTGTACAAGTTTGCTGAAGATGCAAAGCATATTCTTCACGAACACTCTGAATTATAACATTTATTTCATTTTTATATGTTTAAATAACATTTATGTACAGTGTTTTAGCTTTTTATTAACTTCCAGAGATTATTTATAATCTTTTTTAAAGCTTTTAGTCTATGTAGAACAGTTGTTTAGCAGTTTTGTTTTTGTTATTGTTAGAAATTTTATTTTTTGTGAAATTTAAGTGTTATTTATTTCTATTATGATTTTAGTTTATATTTTGCAGTTAATATATTAGTTTATTTTAATTTCTATTCAGTTATTTGATTCATCTCTTCAGTCATTAAATATGTTCAGTCGCAATAGTATTTTACCAAAAGCTCTTACCTATATTTTCAGAAATTAGCTGAAATGCAATCATATTTAATGTAAAATTCAGAACGATTCAAGAGGATTCAGAATGATTCATCCAATTACAGATGATTAAACTTTTTAAGTTCTTCAAAGTGATTAACAATGCATCAAACAGCAGAAGAAATGTCCGTATTGTACATCTCATATTATGAGGTATGCCTTTGTAGGTCTACAAGAGAATGACTGAGGTAATATCAAAAAAATAAGTCACTTATTCCACAGAAATCATAGTGATAGAGTTCCTCCAGGATTCTGGCATCTATTTTTCTATACATCATTTGGATTTTGGCTCTCTCAGGATTTTTGTAAATTTTACATCATTTGATCAGTATGTATCTGCTTAGACTGCAAATTATACTTTGAGGATTCATACTTAGTGTGCTATGTTTTAATATGCAAGTCTGTAAAAGTTACTTCTTATTTTAATAAACAAGACAGTTTTTATTGTATTGTAAATTTAGTTTTCATTACTAGTTTTGAGTACAGGATTTTTATTACTGGTTTTCAAGGTTTGTGTTTCACATCTCTGTGCTTCTTTTCATTATTTGTTTTAGATTTTGCAGATATATATTATTGTAAACTGAAAATTTTTTGTATGTCTAAAGGAAGATTTTCTTATCATAAGAATAATTGATTTTATAAGACCCTAAGAGACTACAAGGTTTGATCAAAGTATATTGCAAGTGCCAAATTGCTGCCATACATAATTTTAGTGTGAGCAAATTTAAATTTGAATTAAAGGAATGTCTTTTGTTCTTCATAGCGTTAAATGTGATTACATAATGTAGGAAAAAATTTATGAAAGATTAGCAGAAAATTTATTTTTGACACATTATACATATATTGAACAAATGCAAAGGAAATATTCTCTTCGTGTTTTAAAATAATTTAAACGAATATAATTGGAAAAAAGAACCTGGGAATAAAGAGAATAGAAACTTGAAGTTATGCTTAAAGATCTGAAGAACCTGGGAATAAAGAGAATAGAAACTTGGAAGTTATGCTTAAAGATCTGAAAGTAGTTATTTTTTATTTGCAACTGCTGAAAAATATTCATTATTGAAATGAATTATGTCCAAAGTGGCATTGGTAATTATTTAAAAATGTATATAAAAGTGTTCTTAAAGCTTGAAATCATTCTGAATAAATCTTGAATCTATCTTTATGAAATTAATGGGCAAACTGAGTGAATATAGATGGTAGCCCATCTGTAAAAGACTGAACTATGTACACAAATTAGGAAATTTAATTATGAAGGAAGGGATGAGTTTAAGATGCCAATAGGCAGTTAAAATTGTTCTTAAGAAACAAATTCTCCCTTTTAATATTAATCTTTGAAATGGGATTTCCGAAAATCCTGATTCTTTTTTGAAAAATTTTATGAAATAGCTAAGAATTTAAGTGTAGTGATATGAGTCATTTGTATAAATGCAGTGAAATTATACAAATCTTCATGCTAAGTATAATCCTATACACATTTGAATTTCTTTAATGATTTTGAATAGTTAGACTGAAAACTCAAAAATGAACATTATTGAATCTTGTGAGTTTCTTAGCTGAAAAGGCTAACAAAATTACTGGGGTTTTTAGTAAAATTTTGGTAATCTAAAAGTATTTATTTCCTTTCAGAGAACCAATAATCTCAACAAAAATGACAACTTATATACGGTTTGGAAAATATGTGAGATAAAAGCACTTAATTTCCATTATTCTATATATCACAATATTTTATTGATTAAAATATAGTTTGACTATCTTGATAATTTTTACTAATATAATTATTTTTTCCATCTTATGATGTATATGTACAATATGTATAACATTCAATCAGTAAATGGGTAAATTTACCCCCATTGTACTTAAATTTCTTTTGTGTGTGTTGTAATTTTTCTAAGGAATATCTGAATGTGTTTCTAAGATGTTTAAACAAAAATCTAAAATACGAAATTCTGTTATATTTTGCTATCTACTTTAGTATTTCTCTTCTTTTCTGTCTTTCTCACCCCCTCTCTCTTTTTTTTTTTTTATTTTTTTTTTTTTTTTTTTATTTTTTTATTAATTGTAATTTTAATGTACTAACTGCGATATCTTGAGAATTATTTTAAATTGGTTGTAAATATAAACTTTTGCATAAAGAATAACATGTGGTTGGCAATTTTTACTGTAATTGTGTTTTTCAAGTCATGCAGATGCAAGTATGGAAGAGTAGTATATTTTTATTGGAGGCAATATTTTGCACGAATGATCCAGAAGTATTTTAATATATTAATGCACTGCCCATTTTTTATATATTGGATTTTATTAATTAAATAAGCTAAGCTCAGAATACAAGAAGTATTTGCTACTGAATGTTACAATATGTGTAACTGCATTAAAACTACGAAACTGCATAATTGCTGTTTTGAGAAACATGCAATAAATAATTTGGCATGCATTTGTTTTTGGGAGATATTTTATCGTGTGCTTTATATAATTCATCTTCTATGTGTACATCTCTCTTTTAGTGCAGAGTGAAATGCAGAAAAATAACCTAGAAATTTAAAGAAAAATGTAAATTTGTGATTTTGGTATAGTGCTGGCTATGTGTTCGTATTCATTGCACACATTCAATTCTAGGTGCTAAAATGTCAGTTACTATATTTGTACAAGAGTGGTGGATTTCCACTGTATTTGCAAATGGTATGCATTTAAATGCTAATAATTATTGCATATAAAATGGCAAAAATACTCTTCTGTTAATAAAATTATAATATGTTTTGCTTTAACCCTTTCCGGCACGCTACCTTTTAAAGTTGGAATTTTGATAATAAAAAAAAAAAAAAAAAAAGGTAAGCAGTTTAATTAAGCCTAGAGGAGAGTACACAAATAAAATTTTGTAAAGATAGCACTTGTCGTTTTAGTTCTGTGGGTGTGTCAGGCACACCCACATAATTAAAACGATTAAATAGAGCTTCAAAAAGAGTGCTGAAACGAGCATTGCTGGAAGGCGTGTAAAAGAGTAAGAGATTTTGCCTATGATTAAAAAACACTAGATTCTGAATACCATAGCAGATTTAGCATTACCTAGGGTGTGCCATAGGGAGATCTGCTACACTACAACCCTTTAAAAAGCTTATTTTGGGTTATATGATGATTACATGCTTATGAATGGGGGGAAGTAACTTGGGTATATGATAGTTACATTATTTACATTTCATATTTACACTTTAGTCTTTTTTTTTTTTTTTTTTTTTTTTTTTCATAATGGTACTTTTTGAAGAAAATGACACCACCTTTGAAAAAGCACAACCCAATATTGCATGTTTTGCACATCTGCTGGGATCCGTATCAGATTTACTATCTGAAAACAATTCGTGTAGCACTTTCAGTGCTTTTAGAAATGGTCAGCCCTCTCTGATCGTTTGGAAAATAATTAAAAATCTGAAAAAAATTAACTAATATTATATCTGCAATTTGAAATTATAAACTATAAAATAAAAATATAAATGTCTACAACTCAAAACTATTAAACGTAGAAAAACTTTGAACCAAAGCAAAAGAGAAAGAGAGAGCTGCTCTAGTGAAAAAACCAAACAGCTAACTGATAAAATTATCCCTGACCTTCAGAAAATCACCCCAACAACTTCTTAGTTGATAACCAAACCTCCCCTCCAAAAAAAGGGGGAAGAAAAAAGAGAAAAACAGGAAATAAAACACAGATGTGGACCCATCTTTCTTTCTGTGTTAATGAGCTGACTGATGAGATGCAGAGAAACAAAGATACATCTGCCTCTCAGTGACCTAAACTCGCAATAAGCCCAGTCTGGGAAACCTTGGTTCGCCATGGGATTTTAGGCAAGATTTCAAGGTAAAAATTGTAAAATAATATGGAATAAGGAGATTAGCATACAACCAAAAAAATAACTTAGAAATTTCGTTTCAAACAATTCTGCCCTAAAAAAAAGTCTGGAAGATTTCTGTGAAAAATGAGGGTCTTAAAAAACTAAACATGGCTAAAATATATGGACTGGTTTGTGTTGGGCTGCCATCTGCTATAAATAAAGAAGGTTCAGAGTAACCTTCAAATCCTTTTTCATTCAATTTTTCTGTGCGTAGAAAAGGAAATTTTTAGGTGTGCCCAGATTGGGCACAGAGTGCCGCAAAGGGTTAAGGTTGTCTTTAAATGTGTTTTAAGCAAATTTATTTGTTTACTTTTACAAGATCTATTTCACTGCCAAATATTAAATTAATGTGATGTTTTTCTAATATACTAAAATTTTTTATACGAGAAAGTATCAGATTTATTTATTTATTCAAAATGCATTGTTTCATTGTATGTTATTATATGTCATTGAATAAGGAAATGTTAGCATGTATTTGGAATTTTCAAAATTGTATTTGAAGATTGTTTAACACAAGTGCTTGTCGTTGTTTTACGCAAGTATCTTGGAATTTCATTGTTTATATGTAGTGTGTTCCCCCTTTTTATTTTAATACCATATTTACTCATGGATTTTGTACCCCCCTTGCCTGTTTTTTCTCTTGGCTTTTTAGAATTTTTCTTTTTAAGTATTCTTCTAATTCCACCCTTTCTCATTCATAAAGTGAATTTCCCTAAATTTTAAAATGGATTCATTTGATAATGATTGCTTTCATCTTACTAATTGATTTGGATTTTGGGTGCATAGGCTTGGGTTGATGAAGCAATAATAGTGAAGAGTTTTAAGAAAACAGAGACATCTAATAGTCATGACAATTCTGGAGATCATTTCACATGAGAAGATAGACTGAATGGTGGCGAAAACAATAACAATGGTGATATCAATGACTTACAAGCTGTAGCAGACAATTTAGACAGTATTTTAAGCAATATTAAATGATTTGAAGCCTAGAGACTAGTAGTGGATAATAATACGAGTGGGTGAGATTCATGATACAGGAAGTAAAAGATACCATTCTAGATATTGGTAACTTTAATAGGTAATTGTATTGGAATGTAGGTTTCTTTAAATAAATAATATTGTAATAGGTACTTGTAGTTTATCCATGGATACTTTTCATTTTTTATGTTCTTATTATAACTCTGTCCCTGAGTTAAATTATTCACATAATTTTACCCTCTCGATTTTCATAGAATAAAATTAGTAAAAAGGGAAATGCAGGTAAATACAATATATGCATTTTAAAAAGAGTGAAAAGTTTCATAGAAATACAACTTAGGCACTGTCTTTAGTGGTCATGTTTATAAATGTTATGTAAATGCAATTTTAAATGTGATACATGCTTTTTTTTTAAACATTTTAATGTATTTGTTTCTATGTTTTTATCAAAATAGAAGGATGAAATAATTTATATATTGTTTATAATTACTTTGCTAAAATATATATTTTAGGGTATTAAAAATGAAATTAATATATCAATTTTCATTTAGTTATAAGGTATTTCTTCCACCTTCTTGGCATGTCTTCATGGTGTGGTGGTCTGCATGCTCAGCACGTAATTGAGAGGTCCACAGTTCGATTCCCAGGGAAGGTGTTGCTAATTTTTCATCTTGCCTGCTTCCAAAATACCTTATGTCCCTACAGTGGTGCCTGAACTAAAGGGGCATTGGATGGTGATTCTCCTCACCCAGGATTTTGCGATTGGGTCTCCTGGTATTTCTCCTGCCTTCTTGGCATGCCGTCGTGGTGTGGTGGTCTGCACACTCAGTGCGTAATTGAGAGGTCGGCGTTTCGATTCCCGGCAAAAGCTTTGCTAATTTTTCATCTTACCTGCTTCCAAAAATACCTAATGTCTCTGCATAGTAAATAATTTATATAAAATAAAATTCTCCGAACAATGTAAATGCATAGCCAGAATTTATGGATTTTTCAGAAACCTGCTTAAACTGCCTATTTTTTATGTTATATTTAATGAAAAAATTTTCATTGACAGCAGTTGCTCCTGTTTTTGCTTTTTATACTGAAATTACTTCTTTAAGATATTCATTAAAAATAGAGATGGGACGAGTTTTAAATTTCTAGAATCCAAATATTTTTCTTATCTTTTGAATCCTTCATGTAGGAATAAGAGGAAAAAGGAATGAAAACTCTTCCTTAAAAGCTTTTAATTAAAGCAAAATTTAAAATCTATAGTTCACCAGAAGCTGGACTGTCTGGAAAACTCAGGCCAAATTCCTGATTGATGAGCATATAAAAAATGGATTTCACATTAGAAAAGCCGAGTGGAAAATCTTTCTGCTCTGAAATCATGAAAACAGTTATCTTATTTGCTACCAATTTAAATATCAAAAACCTTCATTTAAATTATAAATAACTTTGACAAAAAGGAGTGCATTTTAAGACATAAAAACAGCATATTTTGTAGGCCTTAAACATGAAAGTGTGATCCAATTATAGAATCTCACCGAACATGAAAGTTGGTGGAGATGTTATCAGTCAGCAGAAGTTTAAACGAACAGATCATTCTTTATTTAGTTAGATAATAAAGAGATATAAATTACAGATATAATATATAAAAACCTAAGAGACTTAACATAATTTTTTACGTTGCATGGTCATTGTATATCCACTTTCAAAGTCGTATAATTTGCATTTTTTGATATGGCCGGATCTGTAACTTTGAAAAATACTCCACTTCATGCTGTCCCAAATATTTATAATTTTTTTACAATGAGAGGGAAAAAATAAAACTTATATCCTTTCACAAAAGTTGAACTGGTTTATCAAATTTGCTTGAACAGTTTCATGGTTACTTGGACTTTCTGGTAAACTGAATTCCGGATAGTCGAGCTTTTATTATAAAACTGATTTAAAAAAATTTCAAGAATGCAGTTTTTTAATATATACCTATATTTAAAAGATGCATATGAAATTTAATAATTGAAATATATAATTAAGACTCTTGAATTTGATGTCATTTTCAGAATATTTTTTAATCAAAGAAGTATAGACATAGATGGCAAACTGAAACAGTGCAACACTCCAAGGTGCCGTTATATGATATTAGTGATCTAAATAGCACTGAAATTTCAACCGTTGCATTCCTTTTAAAATTCTCTTGCTGCATATGAATAAACCTGATCATTGCAAAGTTTTTACTGTTTTTTGAGGGGGAGGTAAGGTTAGAATTTAAATGACAAATGAATGTGAAGGGTGGTGTGTTCCCCCCCCCCTTTTTTTTAGAATTGGGGATTCAAGTGTCCTATCCCTAAATAAAATCGACTGCTCACTTTTCTGATGTGTCGTACAATATCATTGAACTGAATACATTTCTTTAGAATAAATATTTTAATCAAAAGTAACTTTTCCCTGCTGCATTTTTTATATTGATCAAACCTCAAAATATTTGTACCTCATAAATTTATTCTGTATAATAAAAAATAACTCCCAATTTATATCAATATGCCTTTGATTCAAAAAATTTCATAATTATCTGAAAATCAGATCTTGAATTTATTTATTTATTTATTTTTTTATGTTTTCAAAACTCATTTTAATATTTTAAGTGTTTTTTTTTTTTCTTTTATTTAGGTTGTGCACTGTTTGTTTTCAAACTTCTATTTATAGAAATGTAAATTATTACTTAGTGTTTATTTATATCAGGTATATTTACTGCTGGGAAGTATTTATAACTTATTTATATCTAGTCTTGTTGTAAGCGCCATAATGTGCCTTTTATTTTAGTGAAGGCCTTCTTATTTACTTACATGAGCTGCTAAAAACACTTAACAGCTCTTTTGTACTTCTACTCTTGTACAGAATTTTGTAATTTTATAACTCGGAAGTATTATAATTTAAATAGAATAAAATCTTTGATTTTGTTAATGATTTTTTTTATCTGTAATGAATTAATGAGTTTCTTCTCTTTTGTAAGAAAGAAGTTTGCATCTTACTTGCACTTTATTATATAACTTGATATTTGCTCGTGAGAAAAACTGAATTTAAATCCTGCTATTTTAAATTTCGTACTATGCACTTAATTGTTAAAGCTTCCTGAATTCGCTGTATTCAATATTATTCTTAATTCATTATGTGAAAACTTCTGGTAAAAGTGTAACTGTATTTTTGATAAAATTTTGTTCATGCTTTAAATATATTTTGATGTGAGGAAGTTTGTATTTGCCTGATTCTGGCATACTGTTTTAATTTCTGATATGTTCCTAACAACTGTATGATTAAAGCTTTTGTTACAAGTGTATGCATTATAATGTAAATTTTAATTCCGATAACATCTATAATATTTTACATCATTATTTTCTTGACCTAAAAGCATATATTTTTATTTTCAGTATGCAAAAATGTGGAGGGTGCCTGTTGGCACATGGCGACCTGCTTATCTGTTGTCCTACACATGCTCTCTTGGATTCAGGTCAAGTGATGTAGCATGCCATGGCAGATGTGAAATGGTTTCACTCTCCAGATAATGCCTCACCACTCAAGCTGTATGTGGGTGGATGTTATCGTCCATAAATATCACATCGGCACTCACTGCAGCGATAAAAGGAATGCAGAATAAGGTGTAGAATTCCGTTGCGATATCGGACGTCTGTGATCGGATCAGGTAGAGGCCGGTGCAGTCGTTCGTTGCTATCCCAGCTCATACAAGTAAGCCTCCTCCTCTGTAATTGTCTCTTTCGGCAATATTTGGCTTCCAATTGTGTGTCCCTGGCTCTCGCCATATCATTATACTGCAGGAATCGTTCTGGGTGTTAAATCGAGATTCATCTATAAAGATCACGTAGTTACATTGCTCTGGTGTCCAACTGCGATGTTCACTGGCCCAATTCAACCACACTTTGACATGCAATGGGAAACAAAGGAACACAAATTACAAGTCGTCGTGCATATAGTCCACTTTTATGCAGCTGATGTGATACAGTTTGGAGAAATATTGTCCTTCCTGTAGCAGCAGAGCGATGCAACGCCCGCTGTCGTGCTGTTGGTGTCTACAGCATTTTGCACATAGCAACAGGAAGTGATCGCCTGCCAATGTGGAATCATTCGGCTTCCAGACCCATGTATTCTATAGGAATTTTAATTCCTTTGATAACAATTCACAGCCTATTGATGGCAGTACGATCCACATTCAGCTCTTTTGCAACATCTCGACAGCCGTCTAGCTCATTTTGGCTCTTTGCTTGTCTAGCTCTTTGGCTCATGCTTTCCGCTTTGGCTATTTTGGATTATACAGAGCTATCGCTGGCTGCGAACTGACGCATAGATTCGGCATGCCTCTTTTTAAGGCATTGTGGTATGACTGTGGGATTGCGTTTTATGCTAATTTTGGTTGCCTATTTGTATTCGCGATGCAACCTCCACCTCATATGTAAACTGTATGTGAGTGTCAACATAAAACTTTACCAGTGACCGACACCGACGACTATTATACTATGTAATGCGATGCAATGCAAATATTTTGCATTTACACTTCATCAAAATCTCTCACCCCTTTTTTAAAAAAGAATTTATAGGCTTTCTTTGTGAAGTGAAAATAGTTACTCTTTTGTGTTGCAATATATGTCACGTCTAAAAATTTTGACAATAAGTAGCAGTAAAAATATTTGTTCTTATGTTAGGTAGAAAGTAAATAAAACCCCGAAGCAGTACTCGTTTCATTACCTGCCCAGTTATGAGGTTTATTTTCGATTGATGAAAAAAAAAAAATATTCAAGACTTGCTCTGTATTATATAACAGTGTTTATAAGCCTAAAAGAAATTCCATTTTGTTGGTGGCTCTTTTGAAGTTTGTTTTATTTTTAATTTCTTAAAGCGTGTGTTCGAACATTGGAATAAGAGGAAAATAAATTGAATTCCAGATTTCGTGATAACGTGTATGTCATTTACATTCTTTAATATGATTAGCAGCTTAGGATAAAACTGAATTTAGTTTATGACTGTAACATAGTGAACAGCAGTTACATTTGGACAGAAGCGCCATCAATTATCTGCACAATTAGTTTCTTCTAATAGTTTCTATAACTTATATATGCCGAAACAGCATTAAAAAAAAGTGCAACAACCATTTTTAGCAGTTTCTTTTGAAATCGGCATAATATGGTAATACGTTACACTCTACAAAAGTTGAAGATGCTTACGATGTTTCATCTGCTGTCCCCTCATTTACATTCACATTTCGTAAATATCTCCCCTCCTCATAATTCTATGCATTATTAAAGACACTTTAGTGGAAGTTAACAAACTGTCTCTTCAATCGTTTTATCTTGAAAAAAGATCGAATATTAAATCAAGGCATTGTTTTAAGATTTTATAACATTGCAATCGATATATTGAACTGTAATGTCAGTTCGTGCAAGATTTATAAAATATGAACAAAAAATTACTGTTTCAACAGGAAATTGAAGATGCTGTTATTAATATTTATGCCTGATGCAGTCAACTCTCTAATCCTCCCCCTGCACCGATGTTATGGGGCCTTTGAACCAACCGACAAACACATAACATGTTTTATATTTTGATATCAATATTATTTTACCTTTGGCTTTGATGACAAAGTTGATTATTTATTGCGAAATGGTACAGCTGTTCGTCTATAATATTTTCATAACCACGAAGCATATTTGGCAAATGTACGGCAAACATGTTATAAAATAATTTCATTGTAGGAAACTTATCCAAGTGTAGATGATTTTTACTTTTTCTTTTGTCGTCCAATCTAAGAAATTTTATAGTAATTTGAAAATGTTAGACCGCAATCTTTGCTTCACATCTCTAAGATATTCTTCAGACTGTATACTCCAGCATATAAACCTATTAAACAAAAACAATAATATTCATGAGGGCAACTTATTTTGTAAATAAACAGTAATACGGTAAAAACATTAATAATTAACATTTCACTGTTGAGTTACACTCGTTTGTATAAACGATGTTGTCCTGCGCTCTTTCTATTCTAAATTTCATTTATAAGCAAATCATTTCACCAATATGTGCTTCAAATTCTTGAGCAGAAATTAATCAATGTCCATTTTCTACATAAACTCTGTCAGTTTCTTCTCGGATCATTTTCATCATTAAAACTGTTGGCTCCCTCCCACACGTACACAGATTTTCCCATAAAAGTTATTTGAGCTATGCTTTTAACTGCTTTCTTGTTCTTATTAGAGACATTCTGTCATAGTTTTTGTGCTTAATGTTATATTTAGGTTATAATGACACACAAACATAAAAGTACTGCTTCTAAACTTAAAAGGAGTTGTGATGTTTTATGTATTAGCTAGAGACAAAATGTTTAGGGAGTATTGAAATTTTAGAATTGTTATATTAACAATATAGTATATGAATTGATGTAGCGTACAGCAGGCATGTGAAACTCGGTAGCTCAAGTGAACCAAATAGTTATCAGTAAATAGTGTGGGTTGTGCAGGAAGCAAAAATCCATTTTCATACTTATTGTTGTATTTAAGTAGTGCGCAAATAAGTAAAATCTTATCTAATACTGTAATTCCTAAGAAATAAGAAAATTGAAGAAAACTCTGGTACTAAATCGATATGTATATTTTCTTTCCCGACACTTGGCATCTATTTTTCGCGATCAGCTGTCGGATGTCTGGAGGCATGTTGATCGCAGTAGCAATTTTCATTAAGTTTTGATGTATGCCTGTTAATCTGGATCTCGCTGGGGACTAGTTCATGAGAGAAGTTGTTCACACTGTTGATATGTACTCCTGAACATGGAAATTATGTAGGATGAAAATTTTTGACTTTTGGGAATCTGCGCAGAGAAATGAATTCAGAGATGTCCACTTCATTCAGTTTTTATTTTAGAGTTCAGTCGCACTGAACTTCTATTAATTCCTTCTGGAAATGGATTAGAATATTCTCAACGTCGGTTGAGAAAATATTTTTGTAAAGTGACCGTCTCAAGAGTTCTTTTAAGCCCCCGAAGTTTTATATATGTACCTCAATATTAGGTGGAAATTTTTATAAATATAATATAATTGCATTTTTACTTCCTTGTACAAAATAAAGGAAGTACTTTAATCGGGAAAAATTTCAGGTATCATATTTCAATGAAAATATTCATTTTGACCACTATCCTATCGAATCCATCTACGCGATGCTTTTGCATCATATCTGTACCTACTGGCAGAATAAAGGACTTAATTCCAAAGTGAATTTTGAAATGAGTTCAGAGAAGATTTTTTTTCGTGGCGTCTGTATGTACTAAGTACGTATCTGGCATAACTCAAAAAGGAGTTGCTTGATATGATAACATTGAAATTTTATATATGGGATTGCTATAACATACAGTTGCGACACAGCTTAGTTTTTTAATTCTTATATGGCGATAAATTGCGCATTTTTCGCTTAACAATTGATTAAATTATGTTGTTCTTTTGTTTCGGTTAATATTTTTATGCCTTTAGTTAATCTGCATTGCAGATGGGCAAAACAGTTTTAAGGCATCAGATTGGAGCCGTTCAATTCTGAAGTGAAACAGTTCTTATGATTCACCACTCACTAACAATAAGAGTGATGAATACGTTCGGAACAGACATAGATCAAGAGCGGTGCGCAAAGATGGGGGATAAGTAAAGAGAATTGGACATAGCGTGGGATCGCTGGAATCAACTCTACCAAACTGCTCATTCCCTAGACTGATTTCTTTCAACTGTACTTTTGAGATTCCCTTAAAAAAAAACCTTTTTACACAACATGGCTTCGGAGTCGGGTAGATTTTTGGGTAAAAGGAGTCGGAGTTGGAGTCGCTATAAAACACGTTGACTTCAACTGCAGTTTTTGTTGGGCAGTTTGAATTTGAAATGGAATTAAAATTAATGTCAAGCTGAGTTATTATTTTTATTTATGAATTGTATACATTAATAGATAGTTATTTTCTATTTTATTGACATATCAATAAATAAGGGCGGAGGGTGGATGTGATATTTGCCATTAGTGATTAAACTGATTCATTTAGTTACAAATCTCACTGGTAAATTTAGGTAAGCAGCAAGAGCTCCTAAAATTGATGCCATTCTTAGGAAGCGAGCAGGAAAAAGAGCAAACAATGGCGATAAGGAAGTACATATTTGATGACAAAGAGGTTATTAGAATTAAGAGCATTTTTAGGAGATGTAGATAACCCTAATGTTTCACTAACAGAAAGACTCTGGAATGATCGTGCAGAATTGGAAACTCTTCTTTCTATACCGTATCTAGCCACAAAAAAGCTGCAATCTGAAGAATTGACAGGAGGCGAGAATGGGATGTTTTTTCTTTCTGAAATGGAAGGATCATTTCTTCAATGAACAGAAGGAATCAGTTCTTCAATGAAGAAAAAAGAAACTAGTTTGCTAGAAAATGAGATCTTGCTGGGTTCAATATATGGAGATCTGGAAACACCGAATTTTCTGGGATGACGAACAAATTAAAAAGGCAAAGAAAGTTATCTATGAACTTTCATTAAGAATGAAATTATTCTCAGAACAATTGGAGAATTCGAATCAGGACACTCAAACTGCAGACATTGCAATTGAGTCTCTATCATCCTTTTCCGCCGCTGAATTAGATTTTGAGAAATATTTTTGGATAATATTGAAAAAGCTAAGGCAAAGCGAATGAAAATAAAGAAACAAGAGACTTTAGAGTTTAGATATAAAAATGAGAAAATACAAACAAGACTTTTACATGGCCTTTGAAGAAATAGAGAAATATGATTGTGCTTGCAGGACACCTCTTTTAGAACTTATAAAAATCTATTCTGAAAAGTTAAGAAAAGTAGCCCTAACAGTAAGAGCTCTTCCTCCTACTCAAGTGAATGTGGAAAGACTCTTCTCAGTTGTGAAGTTTATCAAATCGGATCTATGGCCCTCTAAAAAGAAAATTTTGCCGAAGCTATACTGTTTCTTAGAAATAACTAATGCCAGTTTTTCCATTTCATAAAAAATGCTAATTAATATAAATAATTGGCTATGCGTCAATTTTTTTCTGTAGCATCTATTTCTTCTTTTATATTAAATAATAAGCTGTAACACATGTGTATGTTTATATATTTTACAAGAAGAATGTTAAAAAGCTAATGCTCAAAAATACACTTAACACTATAGTTCCTTAGCAAAAAGGTAAAATCATGTAACAACTAGATACGACATTAAAGTAGTAAAAGCTATCTCGTAAAAACTAAATGTAAAAATTACAAATCGAGATGACTTCAAAATCAAAAAGTGTGAGAAAAAAATTAATAAATTTTAACGCACAAATAATTTTAAAAACAACTGTGGTAAAAATTAAATACATTTCAAATACACAGTAAATATGTACAAAAAATTGCAATAAATGGTAAATAGCTCAACTCGAGGTTTGAGCCGGATTTATCAAGGAAAAAGCAGCTCAAAACTTGAATTAAGTTAATACCTATAGCGCGTTTCGTCAAACAATAATAATTGAGAATATAAACATAATTTCACTAATCCAACTTAATAATCTAAAAAGGTTTAGTAAGCCTCACTTATATTGCTTCTTTTCCCGACGCGCAGTAATTTAAATTGTAAATGTAAAACTTAGTATTTAACAAGAAAAGGCTTTACAATTTACCTAGTTAGTCAAATGTACAATTAAAATGAAATAGCTAAAAAGCTATTGACGCGCTGTAATTAAATTGTAAATTTAAAACTTACTATTAAACAAGAAAAAACTATACAAGAAAGCCTAGTTAGGCAAATGTACAATTTAAATAAATAACTAAAAAGCTATTAGTCCAAAAATTACACAATTTTAAGCGATGCCAGCTTTTTTTGAAAAATTTTTAATGATAGCTTTTGGAATAAGATTGCTTTGTAAGATTTTAATTTAAGTAGAGTATTTCTTCTTGAAAGAGGTCTGCGTTATTGCAGATTCTTTTAATTCTAAGAAGTTGTGCATTAATGGTATTGATAATGACTCTTTTAGAAATGTTATATATATGTGGGAGTCACAGTCGGAGTCGGTTATTTTCCCTACCGACTCCACAGCCCTGTTACACAGAGCAACAGTACAATTCTGAAATAAAAAAAATGCTAAATGTTAAACAAAAAAATGAAAATTAAATTCACTTTTCTTAAAGATTGCATTATTTTATTACTATAATTGATATTTTGTTGCTACTACAAAACTCAGCTTAAAAATTAATTTTTACATTGAGACAGATACCAAAGAATAGGAAATTGTCTCCTGACAAAACCGGCATTTTCCATTTTTTATTTGATTTGACAAAATGCTGCTAAATATCGCTCGAGTTTCTTGTGGTTATATAATATATAGTATGTTCTATTCGGTAGGATCTACATTTTGTTCTGCAACCTTGGAAAACTACATTAGATGGAAAAATTTATGTATATAAATACACTGGTGTGCAAAAATTACGGACGAAGTCGAATAATTAGCATATCAGCTGAACGAAGAGGCAGAGCGGACAGAAAGACCAATCAAGAGATTAAGTAAGGTGATGTACGGTAGCACATGCGCAGATATGCAAGTAGACGTAATGGGGGAGTGTCTGAGTAGTAAAAAGCATGTTGTCGGTGTAAGATCAGTATTTCTGGCAAAGAGATTGCACGCCATATAGCAGTTAAAATCACACCGAGTTGCTGCCTCGGCGAGAAATGGCGAATGACCAATCTGTTAGATGACATCTGGATCCTTTTACCCGAGGTCGAATCATTGCGAAGTTGGAGGAAGGCCGCAGTGTGACAAGTGTGGCTGCAGAGTTCAGAATTGCTCACAGCATCGTTTCACGACTTTGGAGACAATTTCAAACTACAGGAACAGCTATCCGGGGGTTTAGTAGTGGTCATTCACGAGGAACCACACCAGCAGATGACCGTATATTGCTTTATAGGCCAGAAGAAACAGGCGGCAGACAGCGGGAGAAATCGCTAGACACACGACACAGGCGACTGGACGACCGATATCGCGTTTTACCGTGGCCAGAAGACTGCACGGTGGGGGTCTGTTTGCACGACGCCCTGTACGGTGTGTACCTCTAACGCCTGCCCATCGGAGAAGGCGTTCTCTGTGGTGCCGGGAACACCGGAATTGGAGAGACAATGAATGGGGACGAGTACTCTTTACAGATGAGAGCAGATTCAGTCTGAGTAGCGATTCTCATCGCATACTCATCTGGAGAGAGCGGCCAAGCCGAAATCATCCCTCAAACATCATTGAAAGGGACAGGTATGGAGGTGGTGGTGTTCTTGTTTGGGGAAGCATCATGCTTGGTAGTCGTACAGACCTTCACATCTTCGACGCAGGTTCAGTCAACGGGACCCGTTATTGTAACGAGATTCTTCTTCCATATGTGCGTCTTTTTAGAGGCGCTGTGAGTCCGCAGTTCCTTTTCATGGATGACAATGCACCATGTCATCGCACAGTAGCTGCCGAACGGCTCTTAGAGAGTGAGGATATTGAACGTATGGATTGGCCGGCACGATCTCCAGATCTCAATCCCATAGAGCATGTATGGGATTTTCTAGGCAGACGCTTTGCAGCTCGTACCTTACCAACAGTAACGATTCCGGAGCTTCGATTGACACTGCAAGATGAATGGGCAGCAATGCCTCAACAACTCATTGACACCCTCATTCTCAGCATGGGCCGACGCTGTGAAACCTGCCTAGCAGTCAGGGGAGATCATATCCCCTATTAAAGACCGGATGTTTCTTGCTGGACACAAATCACAGGGATGTTGCGGCCTTCAGTCGCATTGCGCTCCATGCTACTTTTTCAATAAAGCTTCTTTTTATCCCTCTGATTTCTCTTTTAGTAAGTGTTGCTTACATTACTCATGTCCTTACGTATTGGGGATCTTACGGTATTAAATGTGTTGATTTGGAAAGCTTTTGTACAAAGTTATATTGAAAAAACCGTCTCGTCCTTAATTTTTGCACACCAGCGTATATACTAAATTCCGAAGAAGATTAAAGAGAAATTCACAGATCTTAATTACAAAACGTTAGTAAAACAAATAGATAAAAATTTAATTAATTACTTTATATAAATACTACAGTAATGTTGTATAAAAAAAAGGTAATATCTAATATACATAGCTATACTATGACTGCGAATAATCACAACTCATTTGCGTTCAGTGTCAGAGTATCCGCGATTAGTGTCAGCGCAGCTGCGAATACGAGAAACTAGTTCCTCTAATCTACGTACTTTAAACAGATCCTCACACTGCCAGATGAGGGAAAAAAACGCCACCCAACGCAAATAGGGGTGATCAGTTTCGCTGGAGATGCGTAGGTTTATTTAATGTTTTGTTTTGTTTTTTAAATACAAGATGGAACACAAGCAAGCAAAAAGCACATATAGACATACAATAACGCACATAAAAAAATAGGTCAGAGACGTTTCCGGTATAATAATAAAGGAAAGATTGCTAGTGTTTACATTAAGAGGAATCAAACTTTTGGCACACCTCCTTACAACAGCTCTCGGTGAAGTGTTAAAAAACTGCCGTTCCATTTTCGCCGAAGCGCTGATCAATGGTTCAATAAAGTGAATCTCGGTTCCAGAGCGGATTGTCCATCTCTAATCTGCAAGTGGTTGTAGAATTATCAACAATTTAAAAAACTTTTAGGCGAATAGTGAAATAAGTCAGTTTGTGAACTAACTTCAATGCCTTTTTGCCAAGTGGGACCAAAAGTAAACTTTCAATTTTGTGCACCGGAAAGTATGTCTTTCTGCCCCATGGCCGAATTGCTTGTTTTTGCTTAGACTCTAATTTTAATTGTAAAATTTTCTAACTATATTGGGTGTTTTATGTTTTACTGTGCTTTACAATTTTTAATGAAGATGTTTTGAGTTTTTAATGAGTTTTTGCCTTGCCGCGAAGTGAGAACTGAATTAATTGTGTGAGAAATATGCCGCGAAGTGAGAACTGAATTAATTGTGTGAGAAATATATCTCTAATGAAATAAGTTCAAGTGAAATATAGAAAAAAAAATGTGTATAATTTAACAGGCTATACAAAGAAGTCATGTGGTGTCCACATCAGATTGTTATATATATATATTTTATCATGGTCAACCGAAGAGTGCAGAAACCTGAGTCAAGGGCCACATATGGTACATATTTCATACGCCTGGCGCAATGTATACTTTGTTATTATAGGTTTATGTTGATAATGTTTTACTCTGCCAAATTTATCAATTAAGGTTTACCAGATTTATATATGTAACATGGATATCGACAGTCATGTATTTGCAAGTGTGTCCTGAAACGAATTACATGTGACTACGGTGTACTACTGTATACACCTACAAGCATCTTTGAATTCTTATGTATTAAGAATTATTTACCAAGTTTCTATTATTTACACTTGACACATTTAATTTTATTTCCCTGTGTGGTGCTACATTTTTTCTCCTGTTCATTTGACTGTACTTTTTCTTCATCTGCAAGCTTTGACAGATCTCATTAATGGCAATATTCTTTTATTTTCAAACATTATGAACTAAAAAATGAGATGCCGAACCTTTTAGCTTTTGATCACTGGAGGGGCTTGCATCCACACTTGCAGACTCTATAGCTGAAGACAGTGACTTTTCCGTTACACTTTTCGCATTTGGCATCTTCTTCCGTACCATCAGTTTTCTTCTCACAACACGGAAAATTAGATGAAATCACAACTCTTCCAATTGGCATCAAGTTCTGGAGGGGCTGCTCTGTCGTGGGTGGAGTGCATTTTGGACTAGAAGTAATTTATTGTTTAAAGTAGAAAAATACATATTTGAAACTAGTAAAATAGACAGAATGTATTTGAGTATTAAATTAGTATAGTATGAAACTGAAAAATGTGCCTGAATCATCAAAATATACCTTGCATGCCAAGAGAATGGTGACAACTGCTTTAAAATTTATGATTTCTTTGTAGACTGATAAACAGCAGAAGTACTAACCATATTGCTCAATAAACACTAGAAGATATTATTTAACTACAGTTCACTCTACATTTTACCTAAAATATAGACTAATGTGAGGTTAACATTCTCCTATGCACATTGGTTGCAGTTAACAGTTCACCACACAAAGAAACACCATAAGTCATTCTTGTTCTAGTCAAATCAATCTTTTTGTTGCTTTCTCTTATATTTCAAATATTTTTATATTTGAAAGTCTCATTTATTTAATTTCGAAATGAGCGAACGAAATAAATGTGGAAAAATTGTTCACACGTAATACTGTAGAGTCATTAGGATTTTTTTTTTAGAGGCCAGCAAGAGGAAAAATTAGCAAACGCCTTCACCGGGAATCGAACCACGGACCTCTGAAATACCGGCTCAGTGTGCAGAACCACTGTACCCCGAAGGACGCTAGGAAAGTGGGAGAAATACCTTATATACTCCCCTTTTTAAAGGGCGACTAGGGTTTTAGGGGACCTAGTCGCCAAATCCTGGGTGTGGAGAATCATCATCCACAACCCTTTTAGTTCGGGCGCCACTTGTAGAGTCATTAGGATTTTTTTAGAGGCCAGCAAGAGGAAAAATTAGCAAACGCCTTCGCCGGGAATAGAACCACGGACCTCTGAAATACCGGCTCAGTGTGCAGAACCACTACACCACGAAGGACGCTAGGAAAGTGGGAGAAATACCTTATAATACTGCCACGATAACTGTCGTCCAGAGAACCATAGAGTGCAGTCTCAGTTAATATATCTCTAGGCCATTGTAGGATAGTACAAATATGTGATACTGAAGTACCAGAAATGAGGAAAGTATTATTGTATAAGGAAAAAGATGGATGAACGAACAGAAGAGAGAGTTAATGTGAGCTGCAAATAACGCGAATATCAAGAAGATGCTGAAAGTACTGGAACTGATATTTATATTGCATATGATACAAGACTTTTCAGACTGGTTCTGTAAAGCTATCTAGGTATAAGACTTCACAACTCTGTGCTGGGTCTCTTGGAAGTTATATCCTGAAGTTTCTGAACCTGCAGCTGTCTCCGATATACTGTAGCACAGTTAGTAAAAGCACTCATTATCATGGTGAGTAGGGACGACGTTTCTGTGAAAATGCAATAAAAATATGATTCAGTTTACCCAGAGTTCTAAGTTTGGAAGCATTCAAAATGTTAAAGCATGCATACTGTAGCGAAGCTCATAGTCGTGCTTCAATATTTCAGTGGTGGAAGCACTTCAAAAATACGAAAGTGGCTGGCAAATCATATTCCGGCAAACCATTCATTGAAATTACGAATGCCAATCTCGCTAATCTGTCCGCAGATGGTGAATAATGATCACTGCAATGCAAATTTTCTGGAAACTCATTTTCGTGTATCTATGAGGAGGAGAGACTAGAATTCCTCAAAAGGTAGCACCTTTTACTTTAAAAATATGCGCGGCACCGCCAGGACTCTTTGAAATCGATGGAACAAAGTTAAACTAGCCTCCAATTTGTCGTAAACATTTTCACAACAAATTACCAAAGTAGAGAATAGAATAATTTCTCTTTCTTTCCTTGTATTCAGCGCAGTGTAACGTCAGAACACCCGTGTTGGGTACAAGAAAAGAAGGATTGTCTTTTAAAATATTTATTTTCAAAATTTAATAAGATATTCTTGAATAAATATTAAAATAATTAAATCATTTCAGCCATAATTCATACAAAGGCCGCTAACGCGGCGATGATGCTAAAATGCGTCTGCGTTCACTTGTTTACAGCATCAAAAAAAAAAAAATCTCTTACACAAAGCCCTCTCTTCGTTTTTGTTACAACCTGAAAAAGAAACTTAATTAGTCCCTTATATCCAGAAACCACAGCAGGGGGTTTCCGCTGCACCTTTCTTCCAAAGGTCTGCTGTCCGTTGTGTCTCTTACAACAGATATCTCGCATTAAGCCAGGCGGGGCCCAAGAGCGATGCGCAGTGCAGGGAGAAAGTTATGCCACATACGCATGACGTCATGTGGGTGACAGCGTTAGTTCTTGGCGTTTGTTTACTTTCGTTGCATCAACAGTTTGATTTGATTTGTGTTGTTAATTTGCTATTATACCTAAGCGGAAGTGGCAAATTGTGCTATAGCGTTGTGTCAGAATTATACACGTTAATACGTTTTTTGGCGGAAAACACTCTTTACAACCAGATAAAATAACTATTTTTTTTAATGAATTTATGTAGTTTTCATACATAACTGTGATGTAATTTTACATTTATTTTTCATTTTACTGCTATTTTACATTTAAATTGAAAAATTTCTCATTTTAAATCATTTTTTATCATAATCTTCATTTTGTGTATGAGACTTACATCGTAGTGAGATATTTAAACTCAGTGTCATGTTTACCAATACTGAGTACCTGAATGATTAGTTAATAAATTCGCGTATCCAACTTCATTCACATGTTTTGGTTACTTTCTTTATATCCAAACGTAATTCTATGTATTGAAGCAGCGTCTGGGTTAAGCATTGCGAACTAAGTAAACTGATACATGCCTCACCGTGAGGAAAGAACAATTTCTCGACCACACTATGATGCAAACATCGAATGAGTGAGTGACATATTTCCTTCAGTGTTATTTAACTAATGCATACAGGTATGTGTGATGTAATTTAATTGATATAACTTACACATGCTTGAACCTGAAGGAAAACAAATCTGTGTATTAATGCTAGAATACAAATAGCGAAAGAGTAAGTAAGATATTCTCTTCAGTGTTATTTAACCTGCTGCATATGTTTTAATTTTGATTCCATATAATTTGGTTTTTAATTATAAGAGAAAGAAAATAATTCAATATTGAACACATATTTCGAGTATAACAAAAGTATTTTAAGAAACAAGCTAATAAAAATACATTAGTGATTAAAAATATTTAATTTGTGTACAGACTGAATTGAAATTAAGATGTGGTGGTGTATTTAATTATGGCAAAGCACACTAGGGCTATCTGCGTAATAGGTGTGATGCGTTCGTGGAGGACTTTCTCAGGGAAACTGGCTCGTATACACGTTACGCATGAGGAAAACCACGAAAACACCCATGCCAGCCCGTTCGGGATTCGAACCGAACTACCAAGTGTTCAGCGACTTTACCGCTCGGCCGCTGGTGGGCCGAAACTAAGATGTAAGGCAAGTTTATTATTATTATTATTGTGCGTATATGTGTAAGAAAATGTATTTTAATTGTTCCATTTTTAATGTATGGAAGGAAGAATAGGATGCCAATATCGAAGATTATTTACTATAGCAAATAAATCACGTCAATATTATATAGAAACTAGGATAAATATTATATAGAAATCTTGGGAGTGTAAGGGATTATAAGAGTACTTTTAGATTATACTGAAATATATACGCACTTCTGCTAAAATCTGAAGTGAATCAGTATGAAGTGACTTTTCACTTTAAAAAGAATGTGATAAGTATACTATTTAAAAGTATAATGACGGATATTAAGAAATTTGTAGAATTTTATGGTAATTTAAATATGAATTTGTTAAGTCAAATCTTTTTATATATATTTTTGCTTGAGATATGTAATTTAAACTGAAAATCACGATCATATATTTCTCATGGAATGTCAAAGTTCATTTGTATTAAAAAAAGTGCATGAGCAATGAAAATAAATAGGAAAATACTTTTTGATTATGTTTATTACCGTGGTCTTAGCAGTTATGCCTTTCATGTGTTCTGTTCAACAAGATTTATTTAAGTGCAAACAATACTACGACAAAAAATATTGAAAAATACCTTGTTTTACAATATTTATTTCCCTTAATTAACTTAAATATCGTTTTTCATTTTCTAATGCTTTCCTTTACGAAAAGAATTTAATGTTTACAATTATTTTCAGCATTCGTACGAATTCTGTGCATAAAATAAACATTTTCTTTAACTAAATACTTAATCGGAAAGTATATATCCGGTATTTCCGGTGTATCTACCACATGTAAAATGATCATTTTGCTTTAGTTTACATTTTTTCCATTACCAAAATCATGTAGCAGACGCGTCGGCCGATGCGTCTTGTCTCCCGGGTGACGTCACTGCCAGCAACCAATGGCACGCTTTTTCCGTTTCTGGCCTAACCTTAGTATATTAAAGAACCTTGGCATTAAGCAGCTGGAAGTCTGAGGGGTGCATATGTCTGAACGTCACAGCTGGGTCATCATGTCTTAGTAAAAGGAGTAATCCAAAAAGAGGTTGTAGACGAAAATTTCAGAGTTACAAACACATTTATTTTTACACAATAATAGATCAAGATTCATTAGTTTTCCTAAAACATATCAAGAGAGAGTTAAATCACTGTCCTTTCTTGAAGAAGTGAGAAAAGGAAGTAAAAGAAAAAGCGAGTCACACAATTATTTTCTTTGCTGGGTGCCCAGATTGCACTGTTTATCGCGCTATTGGCGACTGTTCATCACCATTTGCATACCACCACAATTAACAGGCCTATCAACGGCCGAGGAATGAAATCGCTGAAAAATTCATATTTCGATCTGTGTTTGATTTTAGGCGAAAGAGTTTGCTTCGTGGGCGTTTTTTCCGTGGGCGTAACATGAATATGAACAATTTTCGTTAGAAAGACTTATCCCTCTTTCTTTTAGAGAGATAGCCTTCGAGTGCCCTAATCAAATGAATCAAAGCAAACCTTCCATACAACATGGACTTAGTTCCAGGTGATTTTCGATCATTCTCAAAGGCAAAAAGATAACTGGCCAGAAAGAGGTTCCCTTTAGATAAAGAAATTGAAAATCTACTGTTGACACCACATTAGATTCAGTATCTATAATTTTAATCCTGAGGATTTACTTTTGGAGTAAATTTGGCTATTGAATCACCAAATGCAGCCCACTAGTTTGATTCAATTAGTACATTTACATGCAGTTATGAATGCAAAATCTGACAACATGTAAGAAGTGTTTGAATATAAATAATTTTAGTAAAGCTATGTTTAAAATTGTAGTATCCTTTGTGTAATGTAATATGAAAATCTTAAGAGCCGAAGCTGTGAGGGAAAAATAGGATTACAAGGTCAACATTGAATATTTAACATTGAAGTAAATAGCTATGTCGCTAAATTAGCGAGAAACTACTAAAAGTCTTCAATCTTTGCGACCATTTGGTGAAGTTTTGGCCCCGTCGCTGTGTAACTGTAATTGGTACAGTAATTGATCCCTATATGTAACTGTAACCGGCCCCTATGTGGAACTTTAATCGTATATGCCTGTGGTCAAGAGACCAACTGAAACTCTAGTTTAGCATTACGTGACCTAAGAACTGTCTTTTGCCCTTCTCTCGACTTACAGTTATCTTGATGGCCCATAGACGGTGCCACATTCAGTAAACTTTCTAAGGCTAACGCTTTCTTCAACACTTAGTTATTTTTCGCCCTAGGGTGTGATAAAAAATGTATCTCTAAATTCAAAAAAAGTTATTGGCCCACTCTTAAAGTACTGGTTTAATACTCTCAGTAGTAGAACACCAGAAGTAATGTTTACGATCTAATGCTTTCCAGTAATTTCGAGAAATGGAAAGTACTGGAAATCTCTCGGCGGCCAGGGGAAAGCTATATGAGCCCGGAGAGAGCATGAGATCTCAGTTTTTAGTTCAGAGTTGACGATCTTCGAGCAAGTATCCCTCTTTAGGTGCTCCTTGCATATGTCTGACGCTTAACTTGAAGTTGTAACTACTGATTGTGCTCTCATACTAAGAAGAGCTGTACGAATACTTTTGCAAAAAGTTCCAGAAATGTAAAGTGTTTCTTTTGGAAAAATAAATTTTATTAAGGTATCATTGGTTTTGTGTGCATTCAATCCATTACGAACCCGTACGTACGCAACAATATTCTTTTTCCTTAGAATAGTGCTTGCATTATCTCTAATAAAATCATTCTTATGCATCGGATTTCAAGAGGCAATACCTTCAAAGTATCACATATGAAATAACAAATGATCATAAAACGAATAGGAAATTCACCAAATCTTTTACATATACAAAAAATGCTATGTCTATCTATGTGGCAACCCAACACACATTTTTATAGTAGTCAGATTCAATCCATACCTTTTGTAATGTAGCCCCAGGTCTCTTAACGTTTTCCTGTGGGAGTACATTATGGACTGTGTTTTCATGTATACTCTTGCAGCCAAAAATGCATCTTAAAACTCAAGAAAAAGACTGATACATGTGTGGTGAGAGGTACTGGAGTATTAGCACCTTGTAAAAGCACCTTGGCGCCGTCTGGCGAATTTTTATAGAAGAAAAAGAATGATGACTTATAACTGAAAAAAATTATATTACATACCCGCAAATTTTACATTTTACTAAGCATTTATCTCGACAATTTTTCAATAAACTATTTACAAGAGAATTTTTTTTTTTTTTTTTTTTTTTTTTTTTTTTTTTTGTTGCTATTGCTCAGATGGAAATTTCGGCACGATAACATTAAAAACAGATTCAAAGTAATTGTTCCCTTCAACGATTTGAACAACTTCCACAGAGGTAATCCCACTAATATGTAAGTACAGATGATCTTTTCTATACGATCTTTCTGTCATGTGTGCGGCCTAGAGATTTCAGCTGATGGCAAGATATATGGAAGAGCGAAATCAATTTTGTTTAACTGAGCAAAAATATTGTTAAACTACCTGCTGTTCTTAATGAATGATTTATTGCACTAGGGTCTTTTTTACGTATAAAAAGTTATTACCGTATGTTCACGAATACCACACGCCACCGAATAAGACGCGCACCCGATTTTTTCGATGCACGAAAAAAAAAAAAAAAATTTTCCGCGAAAATGACGCGCATATTTTTATCGAGTCCACTGAAATCTTACTTTTTACAGGAGAAAAAAAATTTTTTTTTTTTTTTTTTTCTGGATTACGAGCATAAAGAAACAAAGAACTATGATACCAATCGACTGTTATCGGGGAAAAAATTTGAGCTACCACCTGCAGCTCCTACCTAAGAACTTGGCAACACATGCCCAGTAACATTTAAATAGGAAGGAAATAAATCGGTTAGCAGAATTTAATTCTACGGCAGAAAGAAAAAACTGCTAATCTAAGTATGTTATGTAAAATTTTATTCGTTAAACAATAGCTTCAGTCAGCAACAATAACTGCAAATACGGATATAAAAGTCCTGATTTATCCTAATAACTTACCACACCGTGGCACATCTTCTCGCTTTTTCAGTCTGGAAACATAATGTAGATTGTCAGTCTTCCTCGCCTTCTGCGCTGCTGTCATCACTAATGCTTTCCCGGAACTGCCAGTATCCTTTTCTTCCTCATCATCCCACCACTGCACGAATCCTCACTTCTGTCCATGCTATTTGATATTCCGCACTTTTGAAGTTCTTACGAAGTTCTTGCGAAATCAGACAGCTTTGATCCATCAATACATTCGAGTTAATTTCGGGCTTTTTGATGCGAGTTGTCAGTGTGTGATTTCCAGCGGCCATCCATTCCGTGTACATTCTTTTCAGTGCTGCTTTAAATTTGGCGATAAATGCATGTCTAATGGTGGTATATCCTCTACAAATCCCCGACTAGGATTTATTATTTTAAAGTGTACAGTAACATCATATAAATTATATTTTCTGGAGCTATCGTAGCTATATTTTCTGGAGATATCGTATTTTTTCCGATATCGTATCCTTTCTACATACCTTTATGGTGTAATGGTAGCATACTCTGCGCATGTTTAAAAGTTCCCAGTGTGGGCATTGTCCAGTTTTCTCGTTTCCTACTTCAAAAATTCTAATGACTCTACAAAGCAAAATTTATTGTTTACAATTATTATTGTTACTGCTGCTGTTAACTTCACTGTTGAGAATAATTTCTTTTGCTTTTTCCAAGTCTCTAGATGTTAACCCATTAAAAAATCTAGTAACGAATAAATTTTCATGAGTTGATTGCTAATTATATATTGATTAACTATTAGTTTTTGGGCATAAAGGGTTTATTTCTAAAATTTGTATACGATCGAACGAAAATTATTTTTGCTTTTAACTTAAAATATGAAGTAGCATAATTTAATTGTTATTAGAAACTATCAATGAAAATCTGAATTCTTCCCTTTTTATGGCAGATTTTTCTTGTAATAAATGGCGGAACTGAAAATATATACATGATACTGTAATTCTTCTATTCTTAAAACAAATTGCTTTACATACAAACTTCTCGGAAATTCATCTTAGAGTTGCAGCCTATTTTTTACACGCAAATTTACTTGCGCTTTTCATTGCTTGTTTCATGCCAAAAAACGCGATAATAGTTTACCTAAGGAAAGCGGTAACTTTATGAAAGACTTTCTAAAGGAAGTTGGCTCCTAATTCTTTGCATGACGTAATCAGTTATATGCTTTTTTTCCAGTCGGCAAACTTTTGATAGAATACTTAAGAAACAAATATGAATGCCACCTGTTGATTGACAACTTTTTGTTGGCATGTTCCCAAAAAAATAAATAGATTTCGAATATAGGAATTCGTAGAATGGATTTCAAGAATATGGAAGCTAATCCTAACAAAAAGTAACACGGCGTTAGTTTAAAAATTTTGCATCACCAACGCTTTTGAAGGCTTAGGTGTGGTGTTGGTGTATTTAGTTATGGCAAAGCACACTAGGGCTATCTGCCTAAGGGGAGGGATGCCTTCGTGGAGTACTTTCTAAGGGAAACTGGCTCATATACACGTTACACATGATGAAAACCACGAAAACGCCCATGCAGGCCGCCCGTTCGCGGGATTCGAACCTCGAACCGAACTACCAGTGTTTAGCGACTTTACCGCTCGGCCGCTGGTGGGTTTGAAGGGTTAGGATATGATATATTATAACACTGTAAATACAGAAACAGCTTAGAAGAATAAAAGTATGAAGTAGGTTCTGATACTTGTTAAGATGATAGACAACTGAAATAAAGTTATCTAACTCCACAGGAGAAACAGTTGTCCATTGTTTCAGAAGGAAGTGATGAATCTGCTGATAAACAGGTAACGCTGTTTATCAAATTTTTTATGGTAATAATATTTGTAAAATATATTAGCATTTTTTTATTTATTTGATTTTATTAAAACCAAACTGGTAATAACGAAATAAAGGATTGCAGCTTAGAATAAAAGAAATATGGTAATTTGAAAAGTAAATCAATCTAGGAATTGCTCTTCTCATTTCATGATCTTTATTTAAGCCAAGTAAAATGAGTGATGGATATGTTAAAATAAGACAGGCGATATGAATTCTTTTTAAATATATTAACAGTGATGATATAAATATTATTTAAAAACTGGAAAAAAAAAAGTACTACCAGTTTCTTGCGTAAACTTTTGAAGGATGCTGGAGCTGAATCTTCAACTCTCTTCCTAATATATCTTTCCATAAGGCGTGGTTAGTTGAAGCTGACATTTCGTTTAAAAATCTAATAAAAAAGAAAAACCAAAACTCAAACGTATAGGAGTTCAAGCAGATCATCGAAGAGTCAAAGCACTTTTTACTTATAGTTTCAAGTGGCATATAAATTGTTATAAAATAGTTTATATAACCTTTAAACAAGCAACATTAATATATATCGAAGTATGGAATAAAAATTTACATTATGTACTAGAAATAAAAGTAATTTAAATTCAATAGTTCTGGAACAATCCGTCATTTCTTAAAATATGAAGAGAAGACACAAGAAGATTTTTCTTTAATCTACACTCACGTCCATAAATTAAAGATAATGCAAAATCAGGTAAAGCAAGAGTTAGAATCAAAACAAATTTGACTTATTTTTAAAGCTTATTTATTAAACAAAAGGTAAAGAGCAAAAAAAGATGTTATATGTTTGATATTATTAAAAAAATTAGCGATTTTTTCTCCCTGGAGCAAATTACAAAAAAACCTATTTACAAAAAAACAATATTATATGGTTGGTATGATTGTTAATACAGTGTATGTCTCCCAGACGATGCAATACAGTTTGTACAACGCCTAGGCATGCTGAGTATCAAATTATCGATCTGATTTTGGGGGATATTACACCACTCAAAACGCAATGCTCTCCGAAGTTCCGGTAGACATGTAGGAGGAGGTTGACGGGCTGCAACTTGTCGGCCAAGCATGTCCCACACGTGCTCTACTGGATTCAAGTCCGGTGAGAATGCTGGCCAGTCCATAGGGGTAATATCCTCCGATTAAAGGCATTCGCTAACGAGGCTTGCACGGTGACGACGGGCGTTGTCATCCATAAACACAAATTGCGCGACCATGGCGCCCCGAAACAAACGTACACGTTGTTCGAGAATGACTTCCCGATAGATTTGGCTTGTCATGGTTCCAATTTGAACATGCAGGTCAGTTCTGGAACCCAGAATAATTCCACCCCAAACGAGCACTCCTGCACCACCGGTAACGGTGTCGTTCAATAATGTGTTCTTGGTGGTAACAGGTACCTGGAGCTCTCCATATGAAAGTCCTCGAGAATCAGACTGCAAGCTAAACCTGGACTCGTCGGAAAGCATCACACAAGCCCACTGTTGCGGTGTCCATAATGCATGCTCTCTACTCCAGGCTAACCGCAGGCGACAGTGAGTTGCAGTAAGTGGAACGCATCTGACAGGTCTACGAGCATATAGACCAATCTGCCCTAAGCGTCTGTACACGGTCTGCCTTGAAATTGTCGTACCAGTGGCTGAAGAGAGCTCACGAGACGGGTCTGAGGCTGTGCTCCGCCACTTTCTTTTGGCAGTAACTGCCAAATACAGGTCCTCATTCGGTGTTGTAACTCTGGGGCGACCTGTGCTGTAACGTCTACTCACATTACCATCATCTTGGAATCGTTGCCAAAGCCTGGAGATGACACTCTGGGCAATTCCAAGTTCGTCTGATACTTCCAGTTGGGTACGCCCACATTCCAGACGGCCGATAATTCTACCACGTAAAAAATCATCCAAATGCGTCCTTTGTGTCATAACTATTCGGTTACTGCACTGAAATGCTTATAAAGCGCCTGCGAACAATTTTACTTCTTTGCTTGTATTCCTTATATATCACTCTCTTACACTATCGTCATTGTGACCTACCATCGGTGTCATCTGGTTACTTCTTGAAATTTGCATATGATTCTTGAAGATGTGTGTATTGATTTTACAGGTGATATATTTATTTTAGAGTTCGATTTCCGCGTGACTCCGAATTATCTTTAATTTATGGACATGAGTGTACATAACAAAGCAATGGAGTTGAATCAAAATTCTTTTTGAGCGATTTTAGTAATATCTTTTCTAATTAGATACAAAACACTTTTTTTAATACGTTTTTGCATTAAATTACTAAACTAATGCATTTTTGTATAATTTTTTTTTTTTTTTTTTTTTTTTTTTTTGTAGAATTATAACAAACTAATAGGAAAAACAGTTTAATAGTAATGGGAGTATGACGATAAATAAGCGCCTGTTATATTATGGTGAAATTTCCAAACACGTTCTTGAAGAGTACGAAACTGAAAAATTAAACATTCTACAGAATAATTAGGAGTATTCCCAAGTGTAGGGAATTTGGAATACAGGGAACTGCATTAAATATTTGAATATGGTAGAGGATACTGTCTTAAGCTGTCTGCTTTTTGAAAAGGATGCCTTCATGCTTGAATTTATGAAGAAGTAGTAGTAGTGTGTGATTATGGCAAAGCCTCAAGGGCTATCTGCCTAGAGGGAGGGATGCCTTTCGTGGAGGACTTTCTAAGGGAAACTGGCTCGTATACACGTTACACATGGGGAAAACCACAAAAACGCCCATGCAGCCAGCCCGTTCGCGGGATTCGAACCTCGGACCGAACTACCAGTGTTCAGCGACTTTACCGCTCGGCCGCTGGTGGGCTTGAATTTATAAAGAAAACTGGTGACATACGAGGGGGAGTCAAATGAAAACCATAATTATTTTTTAAATATTATGTCAAATAAAATAATCTTTCATCTCTTTCTGAGACAGTCAGCTAATTCAATTTGGGCGATCACCGTTAAATTGTGCAAGAAAAAAGAGTAATTGTTCATTTATGCAATTGTATTTCTTTCTTTGTACCGAGGAGCGGCGCAGACGCAAATTTGTTAGGTTTTTAAAGCTCGCGTTTAGAGCTTTGAGCTTTGAGGTTGCTGTGAATTACTGGAGTTTCAACTAAGCAGAGGTTCTTCTGAGTTTGTGTTGGTAAGCCGCCACTGAAGTCGGAGTTTGTGTGGTCTTCGCCGTTCCTCAACTAACTTACTTTGAAAGTCAATAAAGAAGTTTCGGTCAACGTTATGAGTCTGAGGTTTTTTGGGTTCTATACTGAAGTAATATCAAGTCAATTTACAGTCCACTATTTTTAAACAACGGAACGTACATGTTTTTTATGGTCCGTCAGCTACGGAGTCGCAGTAAATTTGGTGAGTCAGTGTGTTTTTTTATCTTTCTTATTAGATAATGGAATTTACAACGCTTAAGACTAAAAAGCGTGTAGCTAAAGCTAAGTTAAGTAAACTGAAAGAGAAAATTACCGTGACTTACGATTCTGCTGATGTTGATCAGTTAGAACTTTTTAAATCTAGATTAAATGACTTAATGACCGAACTTTCGGATATTTTTAGTAACATATTTGTAGTGTGTGAAGAAAAAGATATTGATGTATTTATAGAAGAACAACAGGTCATACAAGATACTGTTGATGAGTTAATTTTAATGCTAACCAGAGTTAAGAATGTTAAAGACATTAGTGTGGAAACTAAATCTTGTGAAATAGCGAGTATACGCTTACCTAAGCTAACTCTTCCTGTATTTAGTGGCAGTACTGAAGAATGGTTATCATTTTTTTTTATTTATTTAAAACGGCGATAGTGGATAATGACCGTTTATCAGGTGCACAAAAGCTACAATATTTAAAGGGTTCTTTAAAAGGAGATGCTTTGCGGATTGTTCAAGCTTTAACTATTTGTGACAGGAATTTCGAAATAGCGTGGCATTTATTGTGTCAAAGATTTTCACATAAGAGAGAATTACTTTCATCGTTATTAAAGAAAATCTTGTATTTATCAAATTTACAATCTGAAATTCCTAGTCAGATATTAGCGTTAGTAGACACTGTAAGAGAGTGTGTATGTTCGTTTGAAAATCTAGGATTCAAAGTGGAGCAATTCGCGGATACTATTTTAATGTTAATAGTACAGTTTAAATTGGATTCTTCGACGAGAGGATGGTGGGAAAGAACATTAAAGAGTGAGGAAATACCAACACTTAATAATCTGCTAGAGTTCTTGAAATCTCATGCCAGAACCTTGCAAGCAGGTAAAACGCAAGGTGTTAAAAAACAAGTTACAAAAGACAAATTAACTTCATTGGCTTCAGAGATTCGCGCGCGCAGTGTACGTATTGTAAAGCCGGTCATTCAGTTTTTAAATGTAATAAGTTTTTAAATCTGAATGTTCAGGAACGCGTTAATTTTGTCAAGAGAAATAATGTTTGTTTTAATTGTTTGGTTTCAAATCATAAAGCTTTCGAGTGTAGAAGTACACATAAATGTAAAAAGTGCTTTAAAAAAATCATCACACTACTGCATTTCGAAAGAGTTCAAAATGAACCAAAGGCACGTAAAGGAGTTACGAACAGTTCGAATGAATTATCAGTGACGGCTAAGCCATTTTTCCCTGGGCCAGAACCTCGCGCTCAATCGGCTGGGTCAGGGGAGAATATCGCAAGTTCTAGTCCAGTAATTAAATCTTGTGTTTCAGACTTTAATTTTCAGAGTGAAGTTTTATTATGTACGGCTGTTATTAAAGTGTTAGATTCATCGGGTGAATACCAATTGTGTAGAGCCCTCCTTGACCCTGGCAGTCAAGCAAGCCTGATTTCAGAAGATTGTGTACAAAGGCTAGGGTTAGCAAGAAGAAATGCCAAAGTTTTTATTTCATGTTTAGGGTCTTTGGATACGAAAACTAATGGAATTACGGAAATAAACTTCGTTCCGCATTTTCCGGCGAAAGTGTCATTTAAAACACCAGTATTTATCATCAATAGAATTATTGGAACTTTGCCGCATTTTACATTGGATAAGAAGTACGTTGAGGAATATAATGATTTAATGTTAGCAGATCCAACATTTTACAAAAGTGGGCCTGTTGATATACTTTTAGGCGTAGATATTGCCTTACCTCTTTTAAAGGGAGAAATAATTAAATGCGAAGAAGGTAAACCGGTAGCTTCTCGTTCTGAACTAGGATGGATTATTTCAGGTAGTGTGAATAATTCAACAGAAATTAATCCTACTATCTATGTTAATAATATACAAGTGGAAACTGATCAGATGCTGTCTGACTTTTGGAAATTGGATGCTGTACCTACGTTTGACATGCTTACTAAATCGGAGAGAGCATGTGAAGATTATTTCAAATCTACATATACGAGAGAGGA